GAGTGCTTATAAAAGTCAGTTACTAATGTCATCGAGTCTTTTTTGTCTGTTTTCTCTAGCGTACACAGGCTAAAACTTCAAAATGTTTTGGTTTAACCTTGTGACTTTCTGTCCGCTGCTCTATCTATATAGACAAGTACGCTTAAGTGGTATATATATTTGTATTTTGTGTTTGCAGGTGCTAGCTATTACCATTTTCTCACGAGCCACACGCTTTACTTATCAAGTAAAGGTCAGTGGAATGTGTTATCTTTGTTGTTTCGATGCACGTAAAACGCTAAGACAATAATCCTTGCTTCCATCAGGTTCATCCTCACGGTCAATTGTCAGCTAACATAAATGACACATACATACACATCTATCTATCTCTCTCATTCCTCTCTCTCTCTCTCTCTCTAATATATATATATATGACAACATTCAAGTATATCTATTTCAAAGCAACAAAAATCTTCCGTAGTGCGTCGTTTTCATTCTTGACTTCAGCTGGATCTCAAAATTAATTGTTTTAACTCTGTGCCTCAAAATATTGACCGAAATACATTTCGTTGATATTGTTCATAATAAAGAAGAAAAAAAAACATAGAAAGAAAGTAGGTACCTCCACTTTTTCGCGGAAAAAAAAACAGCATAGCAGGACGAAAAAAATGCCTCAAACTCAATAAAAAAGCAAAGTTTTGTCATCAGAATGTTTATGTTATTATTAAGAGGAAAAACAAAAGTATCTTCTATTATTTTTTGAAACTTTTTAATCTTTTCTAACACGTTCGAAATTTTGGTTAAAAATCTTATCTTGTCAGCAGCCGACGTAATAATAACGATTTGTTTTTTTTCTTTTCGCTTTTTCCGGTGAAAAACACATTGATTTGGAAATTCTTGCAAAAATCAAATAATTGTCGGATTTTAAAAAAAACTTTCAGGATATATTCAGAAATGAATTAAAATTATTTTTGAAATTTTTTTTTTAGAAAATCTTGTTAAAAAACATTTATTTATATGTGTTACCACCCACTTAATTTCATGAAATTTCGAGAAATTCAAGTTTTAGGGCGGGGATTTTTTATTAATTAAAAGCTGGTCTCCTTGGAGAATGTAAATCATCAATTTTTTCTTTTTTTTATCCGTTTCACCGAAAATTTGCTCTGAAGTGTAAAATAAAAACGCAATAAAATATGACATTATTTAATTAGAAAAAACTATTAATTGCTTTGATAAATAAAATTTATTAAGTATACTATTGCCTTAAGAAAAAAAAATTTTCGATGAATAATTAATTTTTACAAGAATTGCTTTCATTTTTGTTTTTAATTTTAACTAAATAATTTATAATATTAGAAAAATCATTTAAAATTCTGCATTACTTCAAGGCGGCGGTTAGGTGATATTGTTAAATTTACCAATCAAAAATAGAAAAGTTCATAACAGTCGTTTGTAACCAAATATTATTTTTTAAAAATTAAAAAAAGTTTTTAATGTATAAACTTTCCCAATTTCTAACTATTGTAAGCCATAAATGATATTATCCTTTAAAAGATTTAAGAGTCGTCTGACGCTCTGCAATTTTTTCAATTTCATTATTCAGTTCTGTTTCATCATTAGCGTCTTTGCAAATCATCCCTTCAAAATTTCAAAGTATGTTTTATTTTTTTTAATTATTATCTTACTAAATATTTTTATTTACATATTTATTTTAGTTTGGGTCATACTTTAATTCATTCAGTCAGTTGTGTGCCATGCGTGATACACGCGTAGGCGATCATGTATCTTTCGATACATGACTGACGAGGCAGATTTTTTGCCGCAGTAGGTTGCCACTTCTTTCTGCGGTAGACCAGTTGCCATCCAAGGCTATAGAACCCGATCTGTCCTGCTATTTATCCATAACTGGAGGGAGAAGAGGATTCATACCTTTCCCAAGGATATTAGCACGTAAGTGAATGTAATGGATTCGAATGGAATTCGAACTCAGTTCTCCGATTCCTCAATCCTTTACTCCACCGTGCCTAAAATTCAGTGGACGTACCTAAAAGAAAGTAAGTAAAAATAGAATGAAATAAAATTAACGTGTCTAGTCGAGCTGCGTAGGTCTGAGCCCTATCAGACTGGAAACATACTTAATAGACAATGCTTTAATTTGCTTTAATTTTATAAATAATCTTTTAAAAATCTCTAATGACTTGTATGTCCTGTTTTTCAAAGAACACATTTTTCTACTTATTGTTTTCCAATATCCATTTTAAACAATTTATTCCGTACATTATAAGGTTTTTAGCGGAATGTACCAATTGAAAAGGGGCAAATTAAATTTATCCCAACGGTAAAAATCAAAGAAAGTGGCAGCCTTATTTCGTTGGCTGGGGGTTTGGGAGAGGAATGTGACTGGGGTAGTGCTGAGGAAATATGATATCAGTCAACTATTCCTCTCTCTACCATCTACTTGATAACCAGGCTATAAAACAATAAAAAATGGAAAGGGGGCAATAAACAGACAAACATATAAAAGACGCTTTTTTCTTACATGTCTGAAAATTTTTTAAAAATAAATGTTTATTACAATTAATATTAAAATCTCAAAATGTGCTTTTGTTTTAATTTCATGTAGAGAGGATTTTTAAAATTATATATTTTAGTTAGAGTAAAGGAATCATATTGGCATCTAAGTTATTCCAATAGTATCCTTTTTAAAGATTGTAATGATTCCGACAAAATTGATGACCTAGAGCAGCCACTGATATATATATATATATATATATATATATATATATATATATATATATATATATATATATATAAGGAACTACTACCTTTTAAAATCGATAAAATTAGAAAGATATTATATAAAGAATTTAAAAGCCTAAACTTAAAATTACGGTAATCACTAAATTAAAAAAGTTAACTTCCTTGATATAACATTAGATTTAATGAAAAATGTATACATACCTTATAAAAAAAAAATACCAATCCTTTATATATACACCCTAAATAAAATCATCCTCCATCTATAATTAAACATATACCTTTATCTATAGGGAAAAGAATAAATACAAATTCAGCAAATGAGAAGATTTTCTATGAACATATTGATTTCTATAATAAAGCGCTAAAAGATAGTGACTACAAAAACCCAAAACTAACTTATATAAAAAAGGAAAATGAAATGCATAGAAAGAACAGAAGTAGAAAAATAATTTGGTATACAACCCCATACAACCAAATGGTAAAGAAAAAATTAGGACAAAAATTCCTTGCATTAATAGTTAAGCACTTTCTTAGAGAAAGTAAACTAAGTACTATTTTCAATAAAAATACCCTAAAATTAAGTTACAGCTGTACTGAAAACTTAGAAAAAATTATTAAGAAACATAATGCTAATATCTTCAATAAACACTTAGACAAAAACCAAAGAAATTTAGACAATATAAAAATAAAAATAAAAACAGATGAATATAAACAAAAATTATGTAACTGTAGAAATCCTCATAACTGTCCTCTACAAAATAAATGTCTCACGGAATCATTAGTATACCAATGCAATATCTCATCTATTGAGAATCCCGAAAACATAAAAATCTATATATGTTGCACAAGCCATGAGTTCAAAAAGCGGTTCAATCAACACGAAACTTCATTTAGGATAAATAAATACAGAAATCAGATATCGCTTTCAAAGTATTTCTGGCACTTAAAATAATCAAATAAAACACCTACAGTAAAATGGAAATTAATAAGAAAACTAGAATATGTAGGTCATTAAATGACCCATGTTCTTTGTGCATACATGAGAAACTATATATTACTAAGTTTATAAAAAATAAAAATTTACTGAATCAGAGAAATGAAATAGCTATTTTTTGCCGTCATTGTCAAAAATTTCCTTAAATAATATTTAAAAATAAAATTAAAAAATGTGAGCTGGTAATATACATACTTATATTAGATATGAAAAAATAATTTTAAATAATGTAATTCTATTACATTTACTTATTTTTAAAAAAGTAATTTAGTCTATTTAGTAATTAAGAATAAAAATATTTTAAAATTGTAGTTAAATAAAATGTATTCTAACACAAACAAACCTAAAAATAATCTTCAAGTATACAAGTAAGAAAAAAATGCCGAAAAACTTTTTGCCGTTAATAAAAAAAACCCAGACGACTTCCATTTAACGGATGTCAGAATTCGTTGAAAAATACACCCCTGCCCTCCCTAAACTTAACCTCTTTTTCGAACGTAACTCATAATTGATACAACAATAGTTAATAAAAAATGAACACGCCCCTGTCTGAATGATTGAATTTCTCTGTATCCTTGGAAACAGTAAATTATATGTGCGTTTAAAACTCAGTAAATTTAAAAATAAGTTATTCCAATATTCGCTTGAAGATGAAACGGAACTAATGCTTTTAATTTAATTATATAATTAAATTTAAAGTCTTTAGCTTCCATTTTTGAAACATGGTTATTACTGTGTAGCTAAAAAAAACATATTTTCAATCAGTTAATTTATAATATTTATGCTCTGTAAATTTACATTGAGCATTGTTTTGTAAAAATAAAAATAAAAGATATCAATAAGAACACCGGATTATATATCTTACTGTTCTTTCTTTATATATATATATATATATATATATATATATATATATATATATATATATATATATATGGTGATTGAAAAGTAATTCTCCATTTTAAAATGCTTATAATTTATTTATTAACTATAATGTTTACAAGATATGAGAGGAAAGCGTTTAGCATTGCGTTTTATTTCAAATTCCATATGGGCACCAGATTTCGCTATCAGCTTCTCGAGCCGCCCAGGATTCGCGTCAACTGATTTCACAAGGAACTCTTGTGCGATAGAAGACATAACTTCTTGTATTTGCCCTTCAGGTTCTTCCAAAGTCTTTGGTTTTGTATAATAGACTTGCTCCTTTAAGCAACCCCAAAGAAAAAAGTTTTCGGATTCCTGGTTGGTCATTCATACATAAATTAGGGAGTTACTTTTCAATCACCAGATAGATAGATAGATAGATAGATAGATAGATAGATAGATAGATAGATGGGGAGGGGGGGATAATTTTAATAAGACATTTTATTTGACACTTAGCTGATTGATGTTATATTCAGCACCTCAACTCCGGAATTTCCTAGACGAACTCTTTTTGCAATTGTTCAGTTCACTCGTCAGGAGGCTTCAGCAAATGAAGGCACGCACAAACACAAACATAAACACACACTGTAACACGCAAATGAAAGCAAACATACATATAAGAGGTGTGCTGAATAGTTCTCAACTCTTCACACTTCCCAAAATCAAAATTCTTGTTTGATCATTGGGAAATTGATTTTGGGAATTTTCGGACTGAGAATTTTTCAGTATGCCTTCGTATATACAAATAGTTACATTGAAAATTATAGACATTTTATGTATATTAAACTTAACCGTCGTCTTTCTAAACTGCGAAGATTATTCGCACTTTAGAAAAGACGATGGTTAAATTTAATATAGATAAAATGTCTACACTTTTCAATAAAACCTTTTTCAAAGAACAATTGCTGCCTAATTACACTAAAGTAGTTACGCATACATAATGTATATTCATGCAAACGAACGCATATTTACATTCGCATTTGCTGCTCCGCCAAAACAGAAACTTATGGGGAAACGGTATATAAATTTTTATATATCAAGAACAGTTTTAGGAAAAAAACTCTGACAAATAAAAACTAATTAAAAATGTTTAGAAAATTTCTTAATCGCCAGATCATCCACAGTAAATTTACGTCCCTGTTCTTTCAACGTTTCACCATTTCTTGGCAGACCTTCTATTGTCATAATGTCGGATATTTAATAACAAATGTGATGAAAACATTAACACAAAGGAAAATAAAGTAAATAAAATTGTCTAGGTTACTACAAACATATTTAAACAAAAACAAAATTGTAGTCACATCAATGTAAACATCACTACGAAGTTGTAAAGGACGAAACGTGTCACATGAAAACTTTTTCTATTTTGTCATAGTTTTTCTCCTAAAACAGAAATTACAAATTACAAGGATTACTTTAATAAATTCATGTCTCACGTACACACGCCAACACACACGCAGAAACAATGACAATAGATAGGCAAACCATATATGTTTCCCTATGTGGGTGGGTAAATGCAAGCATCCAAACATGTAAATCTATTCACAGTTCAGACATAGTTATTTTCCAAGCGTAGCTTAGATGTGGCACAAGGCCGAAAGTATGGGGCATCTAGTGAGGATCGGACTCACTTTTCAGTTGTAACTGATCTAGCGAAACAAGCTTGCTAACCATTACACCACGCCGAGGTGCCCAAATCTGTTCACACATAAACACACAAACATAAACATGGGACGCCTCGGCGTAGGATAATGATTAACAATCTATTCTGCTTGACCATTGCTAATGAGTAGTGAGTTCGATCCTCACTGTGTGCCCAAACTAAAAACTTAGGAAATAACATCAACACATCAATTCAAACACGGATATATGCAAATTAATATATCCATCGAAACATATAAGATACACTTGAAAACTCGTTCAACAAAAAAAATCCCTTTTGTGTATCTAAATATAGATTTATAGACATATATTTACGTCCTTCCGGAAACAAGCAACCATATATGTAAACGCATCACAAATGAACGCCTAATTCATCAAATATCAAATTTTCACGCATGCCATAACTGTACATAATAAACTGACAAGAAAAATAACTAAAGACATCTGACTAATAATCCCTTCACCGAATATCGTCAGCTACGTGATGTAGTATGGAGTTTAAAAGGTGCTAAATTCATATGTTGTGATTATTGTGGATGACTACAGAGAATTTAGTAAGGTTTACAACGTTCTTCCATATATGTCCAACTCAGAAGCCATTGGACTACCTTGAAGTCAATCGAGAGTCCCTGGAATTAATTTCCACCATCCACGCACTATAAAGGGTTGTGTTATCTCGCTGGAACAGATTATCGTCCCTGGGCATAAAGAGGAGCTAATGGGCTGCAACAAGGTCTGTGTATGTTCCACAACATGTTAATATGAAACATACAGATAATGTCTATTGTACCTTCTGCTAAGTTCCTCTAGATGTCAAATTAGTCCTTTCTTGTAAAGAAATTTGCCGAAATTCAGTGGTTTTGTACTGTTTATAGTTTCATTCAAACTTTAAATTGACAAACGTCATAATGAGTATTTCTCAACTTTCAAACTTTTTTCCTTGAAAACGACCAACGATGGTCGAAAATATTCAGTTTAATTTTGGCAAATTCTATTACATGTTTTCCGTTGAAATAAAGCGATTATATCGACAGCAGGAGAAACTCATGAAAAGGCTCAGTAGATATTCGCTATTGGCAGAAAAAAACCGTCGTTAGATGCGACGTACTTTAGACCGTTTCAGTGACGATCAAGCAAAGTTGAATAACGCCTTATGAATGCAAAACTTTCTCAGACATTCATATCTCCTCAGTTTCGTATATTAAAGAAAATATACTTGGTCGTAGACAGACTCCGTGACCAAGGCGGTCGGATCTAACGACGGTTTCTCAAGGACGTGCAGGTTCGATTCCTACCGGAAAGCACATATTTTTTCATTAATGAGATTTCTCGAATATTCAGTCCCGTAGACAAAAATTAATAAATATACTCTTTAATAAAAAACGAGTCGTCTTATAGTGGGTTATCAGTTAGTTATGGTTGAAACAGATTAGTTTGATTCGGCTTTGTTAGTTAGATAGCCCACCATCAGAGGGGTATAAAACAAGAAAATCAAATTGTAAAGTAAAACAAATTTATATACATATAAATCAAAAGGTCTTTACAAATAAAATTAATGTATTTTGGTTGATCAAAATGTTTGTAATAGTCCTTGCAAGAATGAGTTTATGTGTATGTAGACAGGAACGTATGTATGAGCGTTATCGCAGGGTAGGAATGTTTTTGAAGTAATCCCTCGGTCTTAAAATGTTCCGTTCGTTTATCAAGTATAAAATAGGTGAGGGAGAAAGGTAGAGATAATAATAACGATCGCTTGACGTTTGTCAAGGGACGTGTTAATACGCTCGTCTCCTCTCTGGTGACAAGCGAACTTGCCCGTCTTTTATTTTGTTTGTGGGGCTTGAAAAGGTCATTTGGGAATTCACTCCCGGATATGATTCGGGCCTTTCCATTGGACGACGAACAAACTTCGCGTCGGATCGCGAAAAGGTCCGTGAAAGAATTTGTTTCTGAGAATTGAAGATTATTTGAATTTTGTTTTTAAATGTTTCCTAGTTTTCTATTGGCCAAAAAACATTTCGTATCAAGGTGTGAAATGTCACGAGTTTTGTTTTGGATTCGCCTTTGCGTGTGTGTTAGGCCAAGTTTATAAATTCGAGTCTTTTTAATTTTTAACAAAATCAGTGAGTTAGTGCTTAGCATTTGAATTTTGAAACTAGATCATATTTTTTCACTACAGTCTACTCAAATATGGGTATCCACTAAAAATAACGTTTAAGTAATCTGTCAGATTAATAAATAAAAATCCATCACATTTTTTTATAAATTGCTTTGTTTACGTTAGGATAGGAAACTCAGCAGATATGAATGTTTCGAGAGTCTGAGAAAGATTTGCTTTTATAAGGCACTATTCAACTTTGCGTCATCGTCGAGGCACTCCGTGACCCAGATGGTTTAAAGCACGTCGGATCTAGATATTCTCTGCGTGTTTTATTTAACAGAATGTTTTTGCATAGTCATAAATAGACATATATACATACATGCATATATAATCTTGTACGGGCATTTTTGTTAACATCACGATTTGATCTTGAAATTATTGCTTCATTTTAATGATTATTTCCATTAATTGTGCAACAATTAGTGTATGTATATATGCCTGTCTATGTGTGTCTGTGTGCATGTGTGTGTACATTGGAATATTTTTTTCCACTTCAGAGACAGAGATGTAAAATGAAAGGTAATTTTTTAAATATTATTTTTGCTTTATTCATTACTAGATAAGAAGGCAAATAATTTTCCCTGTTTCCCGGAATATGTAAAAATGGTGGATTGTCAGCAAAGAAAGCGACAGCATACTTTTGGACGGTATACTGATCAGTTTGAAGGAACACAGTTGTTATCAATTGCTGTCAATTTAAACTCCACATATGAAGTTCTGTAGCTGATCTTATCGACAGGAGTGTCCTTTTTATGTCTGGTGAAGCGATAACGATCACGACTTTTGTTGTGTTTTGACGTCATGAAAAAGAGACGAAGTGAGATAGAAAATAACAAGGCCGTCATGTCTAACTTATCAAGTGAAAAAAAGTTATTTCTTTTGATTTGCCACAAAAATAAATATCCAACTATTAAATCCCCACATATGCAGCCATTTTCTGATTTAATAACCAAATAGTATAAATGCCAGTCAAGATTTTCACAAATTCAAAATTTAGCCAATTCAGAAAAAAAGTTAAAGAGAGTAGTTGTGTTCTAATTAATGAGTCACACCATTCGCGCCAAACATTGTGAATAGTTAATTCACGGAAACTAATTTAATATTCATTTGATATTTTATTATTAAACTTTACAGTTTACATGTTTTTAATCATCCCCCACCAATAAAGCCACAAAAATTCAAGGGGTTATCGAGAGTGAAAGAAACAGAAAGGACATTAAAAAAACAATTCAAGAAGACAAAAGATGATGATTGACATTGCATTTAAATTTTTAAAGGCCGTAGTTGACCGGAAGGCGGTAAACTGGAAGGTTTAATGTAACTTTGCAAATCATCCCTTCTTGATCATTCTTTGTTGTGACTGTTTTCTTTATTAATTTTTTAGAGAAAAGAGGTGTGAGAGAAGAAACTATTATCATAGACCTTATGGTTAAAACTAGCAATTTCAATAATAAAATTATGAGATGTGGCAACCAATCTAATGCTACGCAAAATCGTGAAGTACCAACGAGGAAAGCTCATCATAACAATTACCGCAAAAGTATTTATAAAAGAGGCAAAAGGAAAGTAGGTTAAAGCGGTGAGAAAGTGACTGAAATCAACATAATGTCAGTAATCTCTAGATGCGGAAGCATGGCAGCAATACTCGATGCATGTATGAATGGAAAATTTATAAATGTGTGAGATAGATTCCGATGAGCAAAATTGTCTAGCACGACATAGTAAACCGACTTTCCTAACAGCAGAACTAGCAATTGATCTTATATAATCATTTCACTTGTAAGTGGAAAATGTGTGAACAAAAAGACACAGTGAGATGCTCTCATAGAGGTTAGCATCAGCCATACAAAATGAAAGAAATCAAAAGTTTCTTTAAGATGATTAATAGAGGGGTTTCGTCTTAGAGGCGTTAAAATTAACCAGCCATCACTTGTTCCATTTAACAATGGATTGTAGGTCATTTTCGAGATCAGCTACCAATTTGATTTTATCGAGCCTGTCGGCCTTACTATTAAGACAACAGTAAATAGTTGTGTCATCCGCACAGATACCGAGTTGGGAACTAATGACATCAGGAAGTTAGTTGATGGAACCAAAATAGAGCCCTGCAAAATGATCTAGAGGATAGACCGTTCAAGACATCTTTCATTACGCGGTTTGATAAGAAAGATTGAAGCAAATCAAAGAATCGTCCAGAAACACCAAAGTATCTAAAGCAAAAGCACGAGCTTCGCCATTCTTATCTAAAACTTGACTGACTCTTTCAGTAATAACCGTCAATACATCGGCTGTTAACAGAAAGAAGCAAAAGCCATATTCTTTGTCTAAAGGAAGATCCTGCAAGGTTAAAAACAGGAACTACAGAAGAGGGGTTCCAACAATCCAGAAAGCAAGCAGTAGCAAAGCATTTACGAGGGTGGGCTGAAAAGTTCATAGGCTGACTATAAAAGAGTATAATGCTAGAGCTGTGAAAAATTGCATGCTTTAATATCAACTCTTTTTATTAGTAACTGCATTGTATATTTCCAGGTAAAATGACATCTTACTGTTCGTTCTGTTTGTCAAAAGTTATCAACAGAAGATATGACATTATCATCAGCGCAATACTGGTTCACAGCCAAGTGTTTTTAATGTTGGGGAACAGATGGTAGTCAAATGAGAAGAATAAGGACGGTGATCAAGCCACAGTCATGCATAGCGACCATTGAAAACAAGGACGTGTGTGGCTGAAGTATTGATGAAATAAGACTCCTTTCGTCAGTTTTCCTTGACGTTTGATCTTCATAGGGTTTCGTAACTGCCTCAGTAAGTTGGCATTGATGATGTGGCCTTTTTGAAGATAGTCAATAAATTCAATGCCTTTTGCATTCTAAAAACTGAGGTGATCATCTTCACTGCAGATGAATCGACCTTGACCTTCCTTGGAGCAGGCGAGGAGGTGTGTTTCCACTGCATAGGTTGTCTTTTCGTCTCTGGCTCAAAGCAATGAAACCAACACTTCGTCTGAGTTAGGAAACATTCAAGGAAACCATCCAGATCTACCTCAAACAGTGCCAGATTTTCTCGCGATGTGATCGACCTGGTAGAGAGTAACATTCAGTTGTTCATTATTTATAATATTCAATAGAGAAATTGTACGTGTCTGAATTTTACTAGAAAGGATGTTTTAATCATTCTATGTAGTTCTATTTGTCTTTTTTTGCTCCAACAATTCGGTCATTATCCTTATAAGACTTCCTCGGGTATCTATTGTGAGCCAGATGGTTTTGAATATCTGGAAGACAGCAGAAACCTGAGGAATACCAGGGGATAAACGACCGAAACGTTGTGAAAATAGACAACATACACAATACAAAATACAGTGAAATAAATTGTAATGCATTTCGAACGAACCTTAGGAAAATAGGAAAATACTTTTTTAGAAAAAAGATTGAAATTTTTTTTTAAATTTAGTATATTTTGGTACGCAGAACTTTTGTTTTAATCGAAGGATTAGCTATTAGAGCAAACTACTCATTTTGAAAATTCTGTCCATGAGTTAATCCATTAACTATGAAAAAGCAATTTTGATAAACTACAAATAAAACAAAAAAGAACTTTGCAACAATATGCAACAGAGAAGGATCAGCTTCTTTGATTTAAATTCAGAAAAAAAGAAATTATATTTCCTGGGCTTTATCGATTGCACACAAGTAACTGAACAATAGACTTCGCTGCTTTCTTCCTCATTACTATAATGTCTTCAGCTAAGGAGGTTAAGCGTATTCTGTGACAACTTGGCCCTTACGTCCAATTTTAAAATGGAGTTGCTAGTTAACAGTCCGAGATTAAATCAGACATTTGCCCAATTATGTAGCAAGTTGAATCAGATCAATACACGCATGAATCGCGGAAAAAATCCAGAAAATCCTTATGTACTGATATTTTAAACTGAACACCAATTGATGTGTGCGATGAGTGGCTGAATGAAAAAACTGGCATGAAAGGAAAAATATAAACAAAGATAGATTTTTACTAGAACACTTGTAATGGTCTGCCTTCAAGTCACAACACCATTAATGAATTCATCCTCTTCATCTAAAAATACGATAGAATTATCAAAACTCGAAAAGGCAAGTCGTTGATTTGCATTCAGCTTTTGTTTAACTAATAATTTTGTAACATGACATTCCATCGGTAAATATCCAACCTTTTATTGTAAGTATATTGACTGTCGATGTATAAGAGAAATGTTGAAAATTGATAGATGTGAGTTACTCTGCCATTTTAAATAGACAGTGCTCGTCTTTATATAGTACAAGTATAAACATGGTTGATCTGAGTCGAGCTTGTTATTAACATTTTGTATTCGACGCTTATTGAACATTAATGTCCACAGGCAATCTGAAGATGAACACTAATCGAAACAGCCTGAAATTAAAGAATGAAATATGACTAAATTTTATTTCAGGATTTTTTTTCTTTCTTTTTTGAAATTGTTACATTGAGAGAAATAGCACTGTCCATCAGAAAACAAGGCTCGCAATAACATACTGCTTCGCTCCATGAGCGAAATTAATGATTTCATTCAAAATTCCCATAAAATTACTGAATACAATATATACCTGGTAAAGACCGGAAACTACACAGATTAAAAGTCTTTAATGGAAGCAAGAGAAACAAAATAGCCTATCTGAAAAGTCATTATTAACGATAATTCATATAATAATCCCAGACAAAAATGAATAGATCTCTTTGCAACTATGCGTTATCTACAAAGGAATAAATCTTCAAAAATATAAATCATATTCAAAATGAATTGCTTTCCATCATTTTTCATTCTAAAATTTATTCTGAAAATATTAAGTTTAACATTTGTTTAGGCTTTCTATGACATCTGTAATAGATACGTTCTATAGAGATCTTTTAAACTTCTACTGGTTTATATGTCATGAAAGTAAACTTTATCGCCTTTTACAAGCACAGACAATAACATCATCATCGTATGAAACCTACGCATGAAATTGCCTTACACAAGTGAATGAGAATCTGGCGTAGGAAAATCTGCTAATTTCGTGTTTTCATCCTAAGGGTGAGTAAATTCTATAATTATATATATTGTAGATTTATGATTGATTGTTATGTGAAAGCATATAAGTAAGAAAGACATAAGTTTATATTATATTTCCTTTCAACATCTAAGAGATATTTGTCCCAAAAGACATTTTGAACGAGAATGCCTCAAAAGTCTTTTTCTTATATAATCTTAGTCTTGAAAGAATTAAAACAAAACATACATTTATAGAAATTCATTTTTCAAAGTTGATCATATTACTACATCCACAGGCATCATACTTTTAGCATACGACAAAAGAAAATGCATCTTAATTTGAGTGCATCTTAATTCCTTGTAACTAAACTCAGTAACCTGACACTCCGAATAGTACATACAATTCATCGTTTTTAATTCCTTCTCATTTAAATTAGAATTGTTAAATAAAAACATGAAAATAATAGCTGAAATGAAATCAAAATGAAATTAGAATCAGATGTAATTATTGCTATATATGATAGACAAAAATTTATTTTTTAATCATTTCACCCCAAGCAAGGCAATAAAGGCACGAAAACGTAAGGGGTTACTGAGTGCTAAATAACTTCTTAATTTTTCAATTTATTTGAATAATTACTAATGTGATATTGTAATCGCTTTCAAAGTTTCCGTTATGATGGAGATGATAGCCACTTAAATTTTAGATTATATCTGTTTAATCCATAGTAATGAAGTAAGTAATATGCTTAAAATGTGACTCTAAAAGGAGAATACGTGATTTATTTTTACTGTAAATAAGCAAAAATTTTACTGCTACTATATAAAGCTAAAAGCAGTATTTCTCTAATTCATTCTTAAATTAGATATTCTACAAACCTGCACGTAGCTTATGATTCACCTAATCCAAAAAATTGTCCTCAAACTCACCGTCTTTGTTCATTTTCATCTGTAAACACTTTCGAAAGCGACATGCTTGACATTGATTTCGTCTGGCCACATCTACGACACATGTGCCATTTTCCTTGCAGATGTAATCTAAGTTCCGCCGAATGCTTCGCTTGAAAAACCCGCGGCATCCGTCGCAGCTGAGTACTCCATAATGTTTCCCGGACGCCCTGTCTCCACATACAAGACATACAGCTTCGTTCTTCTTAAAATTTGAGGCACCTGAATAAAGGAAGAAAAGTCATGGTTTGATTGTGGTTTTTAGATCAATATGTCAAGAAATAACAAGCAGATGAACATAAAATTTTATTTAAAAAGAAAACTCACTTGTTTTATGTTTCAAATCAAATTAACTTCAGGGAATTTCAAAAAGATATTGAATAATTGGCAGTCAGTGGAACTTAACTGAAACTACAAAATCAGTTCAGAGCAAATTGTTCAACCAGGAACAACTGGAAAGTCGATTTCTGTGTAATGTTAAATTATAGAAAAGAGAATTTTTAAGAGGTCTGTTCCTACTTGAACGTATGAAACCAAACATGGTAATTATACAAAATAAAGAAGCGATAAATACATTATTAAAAAAAAAAAAACAATACAAAAATATACGTAGCATAAATCAAGGAAAAATAAATGAAACAAGAAATACAGCGTGGGCTGAAAAGTGACTATGAAGGAATGATGCTCGAGCTGTGAAATCTTGTATGCATTAATTCCAACCCTTATATTAATAACTGCATTGTTTTTTCATGTAAACTAACATCTGACTGTTCAAAGAAAACTCACTGGTTACAGCTGCAGGATGTCTAGACCTTGGGTCATATTCAAGACTTCCACTTCCCCTCATAAATTCAGCTGCCTACTTTTGCCCTGTTAATAAAGCTAGAACGTCATCCTCTAATATAACAACCATATCAACATGAATCTTTGTGGGGACTAAACGCTTTTCTGCAGGTACTTCATAGAACCACGATGCCTAATTTTGTCCATTTTCAAGAGAAGTCTCTACTAATTACTTTTGAGGTCTTCTTTAACAGCCAGATGTCAGTTTACCTGGAAATAAACAATTCAGTTATTAATAAGAGTTGAAATTAATGCAAGCAACAGCTTTTGCATCATTCCTTCACATGATCCTTTCATCCCACTCTTGTATGTAAGTCATGTCCAAATCACATCGACAATATGTAATAAGATTCAAGTTTAATAAGAGAAAAAAATTATTATTTTCGTATTGAAATTTTATATTCAGAACGGCTTGAAGTCCAATTTTCAAATCAGAAACGAACAAATATTATAAAACAATTATCCTAACTTGTTGAACGTCATAACCCGATCACTTGCCGATGTTCCTAAATATTTGAGTACATTTTATTATTTCTGAACTGCATGTTTAACTGAATAAATCAATAGTGAATAAAAGTAAATGGCTAGTACAAAGTTCTTCGTATGAACAGCCGTATTCTACTTACATGTTAGGTTGTGTCGTTCTTTTCGCTGATTAGACGCTGGGACATTGTACTGGTAAACTGCTATAACGTAGAATCAGAATTGTATATGCTTTTATTTATTTTTTTATTCTTAACCCTTTTACTTTAAGTAAAACCTAATTAACATAGACCCTGAAGAAATCAACAAATATTTTCAGTTATTACCGTCATTTCATTATATACCACATGTCTCCCAGAGATTTTGCAATCACACAGATGTACTGATTAGTGAAATAGAAAATACGGGAATTAGCCGAGTGAGTTAGAAATTTTGTCACAAAATTCAAATATCATTTTTATTTGGATTACAAGAAGTAGGCCAACTAAATATAAGAGAGCTCTTAATTGGTGAGGCGCGAGCAAATTTTCATTTCGAAAATGCGGCCCAGAGAAAAAATGTTTCGAAACAACTGGGTTAGAATATTAAACCGGAAAGAAACGGACTTTTACCCTTTTTACCTCGGTACTGAAAAAGTGTCTTATTAAAGGTAACTAGTATTTTTTTAAAAAGAAAATAAATAATGAAAACGGAAGAGATATCATAAGGGTATATTCACAAATTCTAAGGCTTCGTCTATTTCTTTTCTTATCATTCATATTGCAAAACAATTATTGTTTTAAGATTACAATTTTTTATCAAATTAATTTATGAAAAATAGATTATCGTTCTTTGTTAACAGATTTAATATCTTCCACTAAACATTTGCCACCTTATTCGTTTTAAAAAAGAGTTTCAAGATTTGGCTTAGCACTTGTAACGGACACAAGAATTGATATCAATTATGCGAGTAATAAGAACGGAACACAGTGTGGAGAATAATTAAAGAAGGAAAATAATTTTATAAATAAACTGTATTTTAAAAGTTGATATCAGATCATTGCAAAAATTTGTATCCGATTTTCATTGTTAATATAAAATGAACGCAACTTGACACTGGTATTTGTTTTGGTACTGATTTCTCTTGTGACTGAAACCTTGCATCGTTCAATTGCGAGTAAGACTTTGTTGAATGTTGACGTTTTGTCTACAAATGAATAACCTTAAAGATGGAGGATGAAAAGTTGCACTTTCGCTACATTATGCTCTATAAATTTCGGAAAGCATCCGCGCTGTGACAAAAAACATTCAGAAGGTTTATTTGGATCGTGTTCCAGCTCTTCAGACGATCAAATAGTGGTTTAGCAGATTTCGTCAGGCTGATTTTAACCCAAACGATCAACCACGACCTGGGCGACTTTCTGACATCGAAGACACTCTGCTTGCCATCGTGGAGATTAAACCGAAGGTTTTGATGGATAAGAGTGTTAAGTTTGAAAATCGATATTTCAACTACCTTTCGACATTTGAGGAGATTTGGGTTTGTTTCCAAACTCGACACATAGGTACCACATTCTCTGACAGATTTGAACAAGCTCGATTCTGTGGTGATTTCTATGCTGTTACGCCACGACAAGAAGTCATTATGGGACAGAATTATCACAAGCGATGAAAAATGGATCGTTTATGATAACGTTCAACGCAAACGGGGCTGGAAACAAGCTTGTGAATGTACAGAATCCGTAGCTAAAACGAGCTTGCATCCAATGAGGTGTTGCTTTCCGTTTAGTAGGATTACAAAGGGATAATTCACTTTGAGCTTCTTCCAGCCTGCGAAACAATAACTGCAATGAATTACTGCGATCAACTCACCAATCTCAATGCGGCTATTCAAGAAAAAACGGCTGATTTTGGCAAATCGAAAAAGTGTCACATATTACAAAACAAACTTTGTAGAATCTTAAAGAGTTGAAATGGGAAACCCTCCAGCACCCACAATATTCTCCTGACTTAGCTCCTTCAGATTTTCATTTGTTCCGGTCTCTATAGAATAATTTAAATGACAAAAAAATTAACTCTGTACAATCAGCCGAAAGCTACCTCATAAACTTCTTCCAACAAAAAACATGAATTTTCTACGAAAATGGCACCAACAAACTTGTAGAAAGATGGCAAATAGTTGTTATAATTAATAGAGACTATATACTTGTCTAATAAATATTTTTTGTAAATATGCAAAATTTTGTTTGTAAAGTTCTAATCGAGCACAAACTTTTGATCATGATATATATATATATATATATATATATATATATATATATATATATATATATATTCAAACGTTTTATTGACCTCAACCGATAATGTCCGTTTAATTTTTATTACATTCGAAATCTCTCTTTTTTTTCTCTCTCTCTCTCTCTCTCTCTCTCTCTCTCTCTCTCTCTCTCTCTCTCTCTCTGTATATATATATATATATATATATAGCAAACAAAAAATTGGACTAAGCGACACAATGATTTCCCCATGGAAGCGTATGACTCAGTCGAAGTTGCAGACCTAATATGTTTTTACATTTTAGATGTGCTTAGTAGAATCGTAAAACCGGAACTAATAGGGCTGTATCGGGATGACAGACTCATCCTCATCCCTAATAGTAATGGTTCACTAACAGCGAAGTTACAAAAGAAAATTATCAGGGCCTTCAAATTCCTAGAGTTTGAGATTTCCTCTAACCTTAAAATAGTTGACTACCTTAGATATCACCCTTAACCTTAATGATAAAACCATTAAACCTTTCCATAAAGAGAATAAACAACCCAACTATATTAATATCGGTTCTAAGCACCCCAGTGCAATCCTAAGACAAATACCCATTACCGTTTGCACCAAGATTAGTAAACTGTCGTCTAATGAAAAAAATCTTCTTACGCAACCACCATTAGTAATACCGATACACGAAAAGTGGAATGTAGGTGTAAAAATAGGAAAAGAAAAATCACTTCGTTCAACCCCCACTCCCTTCTGCAAACTGTCAAGTATCAATATCGGACAGTACTTCCTAAACTTAATTACTAAACACTTCAACAACAAAAAAAAACTCTAAATAAGATATTCAACAGAAAATCAGTCAAAATTAGCTACTCCTGCACTGATAACATCTACCAAATTGTTAATTCCAATAACAATTACATTTTAAGTAAATTCCATGGGAAAAAATTAAATCTAACATGGAAACCCTCTGTAATTGTAGAGTTAAGGAAAACTTCCCAGTAAAGGGCAAATTCAGATCCATTAGGGTAGTATACCAGGAAACCATTACCCCTAAAAAAAAATACGACAAACCATAATATTTACATCGGCATTTCTCCAGAATTTAAAAAGAGAATCAATACACATAGAAATCCATTCACCAATCCAAAATTAAAACACCAAACAGATCTTTAAAAAAATTTTGGGAATCGAAGGAAAAGGGTCTGAATCCTCAAATAAATTGGAAAATTCTAGGTTTCGCAAACACCCCCAATAGTTTTAGGGATAAGTGCAGGCTATGTTTAAAAGAGAAAATCAGGATAATAAAATATAAAGATCAATGCAAACTATTAAATCAACGGAGAGAACTAATCACGAAATGAATTTCGAAATTCCAAATTCCATAAGAATACATGTGCATATATGTGGGGGTGTATGTGTACGTATAGTGGCATATATGTATGGACATGTAAATGTACATATATGTATGTATGAAGATATGCATATATATAAGTGTGTTGGACAGCATGATTTATTCCATCGGGTGCTCGGATATTACCCACAATCTATAAATCTATAACATAACTAATTTACATTAATATTAACGGGTTTAAGCTTAAACCCCCATCCCCATCACTTATTAATAATATTGGACACCTGTAGTA